TGCACGTGTTTGAGTGAGATCACAAGAATTATTGTAGGAAGTTCATTTAGAGATATCACTGACACTGACGAGTCTGCTTTATCGACTTCGTACAAATTTCGCCGACCTTTTAGCATCCTCTTAAATCTGTTCCTATCTCCAAGAAGATTGAGTATATTTGTAACCAATCATGTTAGCACGATCCAAGATATTTCTGATCCGAGCGACTGGTACTACGTGGATTCTTCGCATAATCCTGCGGACATCATTTCGAGACGGATGTCACCATCATCGCTACTCAAGGCTGATCTATAATGGACGGGTCCCACGTAGCTTTCTCAAGATACAACCAATTGGCACATTCAGCCTTTAATATCAGATCAAGAAGTGCCAGAGCAGAGAAAAATGGCAACAACCACAACTGCTATATCAGAGCCTCCATGGTTATTCGACAGATGTTCAACCTTCAACAAATTGATCCGAGTGCACGGATATATTCTACGCTTTCTTAACAATTGTTGCTCTAGCAAACCTAAACACAAGGAGGGTTTGTCTAGCAAAGAAATCGGCGAAGCTACACAGTCGTTGGTTAAAATAATTCAGTTATCTGCGTTTCCGAGCAAGCTCAAATGCTTACGGAATAATCAACAGTTACCGAGAAATAGCAAACTTTCATCTCTTATTCCCTTTCTCGATGAGCAAGGAATTTTACGTGTAGGTGGCAGACTTCAGTATGCCAGTTTGCCATACTCAAGCGAAACATCAAATGGCACTACCTTCAAAGCATTCGTTCACACGATTATTGATAGAACACGCGCATACCAGATAACTTTATGCAGGATCACAGACCACATTAGCATCTCTACGTCAAAGATTTTGGCCACTGAACGGAAGAAATGTGGTCTGTCATATTATAAGAAAGTGTATCAAGTGTTTTCGCGCAAATCCTTCGGTTATTCAGCCAATTATGGGCAATCTGCCGAAGCAAAGAGTTCAAGTTTCATGAGCTTTTCTAATGTGGGAGTGGATTTTTGTGGTCCCTTTCAGCTTCGTGAATCTAAACGACGAAATGCGAAAACTGTAAAATCCTACGCAGCTATCTTCGTGTGTCTGGCAACCAAGGCAGTTGAGATAACTTTCAACTTATCTTCAGAAGGTTTTATTCACGT